TCAGGCTTTTCTCAAACTCCTGAGCTCAAGTGATCCTCCCACCTCGGCCTCCCAAAGTGTTGGGAATACAGGTGTGAGCCACTGTGCCGGGCCCCAGCTGTCTTTTAAACGAGATATTAAAGCGATGTATGAAAATATAAAATAAGGCCAGTCTTTGCACTAAATTGTTTTGAAAATTTTGTTATTTTAGTAAAAATAATTTGTTATGTTAATATTGGATTTGTTAGCATGTGACAGATGCATTATTTATTATTTTAAAATGAATAAATACTTTAAAAATTTTCAGTTTTAAAAATTTGAATACAGTAAGTATAGTAGGTAAACCAGAGGGGGGGGCCTAAGGCCAGTTTGAGAATCGCTAGTTTATGGAGTACTTAGCACTTACTGGGCACGTTTCTTAAATGATTTGTTGTCAAGATTGTTATGAGACTTTACAGATGAGAAAATTGAGGCTCCCTGAGAAGATGAAGCTGACCCAGGATTGATTTATTCATTTATTCTTTCAACCTTTAATAGATGCCAGCTGTGAGCCAGGAATTTGTTTTGGCTTAAAAAGAGAAATCACAGAGGACCTGTGAGAACTTTCTTAATGGATTCTTAAGAGGGCTGCATAGAGCTGGTCAGTAGCAGATTTAAGATCAAACAACTCAGGTCTTCTGGGTCCTTGGTGTTTCTTTTATGTGAATTCCATAGTAGAAACTTGGTGAGCTAAGGAATGGGTAGGAGTTACTTCTGTTTGCTCCTCTAGAACTGTTGAAATCTGTCTCAGAAGTTTATACATTGGTACAGCTTCTCTACTCATTTGTCTGCTACTTAACTGAAAGTTTGTTACTGACAGAAACTTCTTGTTTGCTGTGTCCTAGTAACCTGAGAGACAGCCTGATGTTTCATAAATGTTGATTGGGTAAGTGGGTAAATAGGGGCCACCATTAGACTCTATTTGAGGCCAGGTGCACTGACTCACGCTTGTAATCCCAGCACTTTGGGAGGCCTAGGTGGGAGAATCACTTGGGGCCAGGAGTTCAAGACCAGCCTTGGCAACATAGTGAGACACTGCCCCCCCCCCCCCCCCCCCCCATCTAAAAAAAAAAAAAAAAAAAAACAGGAGGAGAAGAAGAAAAATTAGCCAGGCATTGGTGGTGCATGCCTATAGTCCCAGCTACTCAGGAGGCTGGAACAAAAGGATTGCTTGAGCCCAGGAGTTCAAGGTTGCAGTGAGCTATAATGATGCCACTGTATTCCAGCCTGGGTCACAGCAAGACCCTGAAAAACAAACAAAAAAACCCAGTAGAAAATAGACTCTATTGGAAAGAAAATAGTATGCATTATTTATCGATGTTTGTGATTAGCTACCTGATTGTTTATATACATCAGCTGTCCCCAACCTTTGGCACCAGGGGCCAGTTTCATGGAAGACAATTTTTCCATGGACTGGGGATGGAGGTGGGCTGTCTTGTTGGGGGTTGTGGTGCACAGCCTGTTTCCTAACAGGCCAGGGACTGGTAACGGGCCACGGACTGGGAGTTGCGGACCACAGAACATCACTGTCTTTCTGAAATGGATGACTTTCTAGCCTCTTTCTTTATGGTAGAAAGAGTCCTGGAACCCTTTAAGGTTATGTAAACAATCCTCCAATAAATACTTGAAAATTTATTTTCAGGGCTTTGGGTGGGATACAAAGGTAAACAACCCCTTTTTTGAAAAGAGGTGATAAAGTCTCCTTTGCACGTTAGTTTAAAATGGAGCACTTCGTGAGAGCAATTAAAATTTTAGAGCTGTTTTTCATTCACTTTCTAGAAGTATGAGCTTCTAGCAACGTTCATAATATTTACTGTGTTTTTTTCAGTATGCTGATTTCAAATGAACTTGAGAATTCTATCAGAATTCTGGTAAATATATCGTGACCACATTAATTTTTCACTAGATTCTTATTTCCCGTTGTATGTCTTCTGAGAAAACAACAAATGAGTTTCTAACAGCTTTGTTGAGAAATAATTGGCATACATTCAATTGCACATATTTAAAGTCTACAGTTTGGTATATCTTGATATGTATACACCCAGGAAACCATCACCACAATCAAGATAATATATTCATCACCCCCCAAAATTTCCAGAGGCTCTTTTGTATCTCATCCCTTACCTTTCCCTGCCCCCACCCTGTGCCCAGGCAACCACTCATCTCATAAAAAGTTTTAGAAAATGCAAACTAGTATATAATGACAGAAAGCACCGTCTATTTGTTCACATCATTGACGTTATGAGAGAGAAGCTGTTGAGACTACCAAAGTATTTCAACTTTTTTATCTGTTGACCTTTTTTGAGTTACTGTTGGTGGCCTATAGTAGATCACACATAAAGAAACTACCAAACAAATTTACTATAATTGCTAGAAAGCAGTGAGAGCCTTTCAGTACTCTACAAAGAGAACAATGAATGGCTGGCTACTTATCCTTACTTGATATTGCATGCTTCCTTCAAATATTCTTATTTCTCTCTTTTGTAGATTGGGCTTTCTCAATATATGTGTGCTTTTCTTGAATTGGATTTTTTATATTTTTCTTTGAAACAAAACAAATATCTGATAGTACTTCTAAAATGAACTTTTTTGCCTACATAGACTATTAAGAGTACTTAAGGTATTAAAGAAGTCTAAAGGAGTTTTTTGGGGTAGAGATTTGAGTTCCTGATAATGACTTTTGCTTCCTTATCTTCTTTTTGTTTTATTTTTTCTTTTTAAAAATACTTTCTTTTTTCTTTTTATTGAGGTAGATTTTTGGCCTTTGTTTTTGTTTTTTTTTTGGCCCTAGACCTCATCATCCTAAGCACTGTGTGGAGTGACCACTGTGAGGATAAAACAGTGAATTGAATTGACTTTATTTAACCAATCTTAAAATCAAATATTTTAAATGATGTAGAGTTTTTGGGTGATTTCAGTTTATTTGCTGTTGCTGCAAGTTTGTTACCCTGAGTAATTAAAATCTGCCTTGACCCAGAATAAAGATGTTCTCTTGAGAAATGAGTATTATTTTGAAACATTATAAATAAAGGAGAACTAAATACTCAGTTATTCTTGAGGAATGGCCATGTATTTTCTGGAAGCTTGTCTGAAATCATGAGCATTATTAAAAAGATTCAAGGAAGTAAATGCACTCTCAAGTTTGATTTTGTAATTCAGAGGTCTAGTTTTGTAAGTATTCATCAATTATTCCTAATTCCCATTCTTCCAATAATTGAAATACCTCTGAAATGAAGAGAAAAAAAAAATTAAAGCTGAACTTTCTTGTCCAGCATAATTCCAACAGAACTGAGATACTAATTCTTAGGGCTACATCTACATTTTCAAGCACATCAACTTTAAGTAGAAGAAAATATTGAGGAAAACATAAGAAAAGTTTTGACATACTTTTCCTTTTAAATAGATGAAGAACTTCCTGATTACATTATGGTGATGGTGGCCAACAAGAAAAGTCAGGACCAAATGACAGAGGACCTTTCCCTGTTTCTAGGGAACAACACAATTCGATTCACCGTATGGTATGTTTCTGAATATCTACGCCGCAGACCAAAGTTTGGCACAAGTCACATGAGGTATTCTGTCTTTAAAGAGGTTCTTGATGGTCGAATTACATTCACTTTGGAGAGGTAGTTTGTGAGTGATGAGAGCACAGCCTCTGGAGCCAGCCAAGGTTGAATCCTGACTCTGCAGCCTGCCTCAGTTTCTCCATCTGTAAAATGGGAATAGGAGATTACCTGTATAGAATTGTGAGGATTACATGAGCTAATACATGTAAGGTGCTTTCAGGTGTGCCTGGCCCATAGGTGTTTTTAGTGTATGTCAGCTGAAATTATTATGTTTCTTTCATAAACTTCTACAACTTAAGAGTTCCTTCCCCCACCTCACCAAAATCAGTTGTACATGTTTGCATTGAATTTGCTTCATATATTACTTTATCCAGTGAGCT